CCCCAAAACCCCAAAACCCCGGGTAGTTAATTTGGAACCAACAAATTTAAGTAAGAATTTTATAAATAAAACGGATTCAAGGGATAATAATAAAAATGACTCAGAGTTCTGCAGATATACCCGACATATAAGAATTAACTTTAGAGAATGGAGTAACTCCCGCAATGAAATAAGTCCATTTGAATACTCTCTCGAAGATTCAACCTGATTCTTGGTTTAACATTCCCGTCTGTGTGGTAAGGGCATTCAAATCTATGATTGAAAACTGCTAAAATCAAAATCAAATCATTAAGGAGATGAACGAAAGAACAAATGAGAGAGAGAAAATAGTATACGGAGCACTAAAGAAGATTGAAACTTCTTTAATAGACAAAGACAACGATCTTCATAGAGCTATGGATTAGATGGAGAGACAGATTTTAGACAAATTAAGGAAATTCCAAATTGATGTTGAGACATAAATCAGTGTGCAAGACTAAAGACTTAGAGAAATGTACAATAACTCCTTTGAAGATGTAAGAATCCTAAATTTCATTTTCACATAATTGAATCTTTAATTGTTTTATAGAGAGAGTTCTTATATAATAAGCTAAGCGGAGTTGAAGACTCATCTATCATTAGAAGCTATATTGAAGAGTAACTTATTCAAATGGAGCATAGGTTCAGGAAATAGCAGTTCGATTATCGGTCGGAAATAGATTCTGTTTTTGCAGGTATGCCAAATAATTCTAGTGAACATTTATATAGGAATAAAAGAAGAAAATCTTATCATTCCTGGACTAGTAGGTCATGGAGAAAATTTTGAGAATCTTCGAGGATGGGTTTCGTATATGAATACTTATGTGCAGCACAATATGGTAGAAATGGAAATTAAAATTTAAGATAAGACTCTATCTGAAGTAAAAAAACAGATAAATAAGATGTCTTAAGTCCTTGATTAAAACAAAGATCATCTTATGAATTAAATCACTATTAGCGGAGAATAACTGAGCAATATAGTTGAAACCAAAGTAAATTAAGTTTCTTAGGAAAATGTGGATAAATTGAATGAGGTTAAAAAAGAGTAAAATACAGTATAAAATAATGTAAAATTTTTGGAGAAAAGAATTGAAGGCATAAAATCAGACCTTAATCTTTTGAAAATCGACGATTCTAATCTCACATTAATTGATCAACTTAAAGAACAATTACGCTAAGATATAAGTGTATCATCTGATAAACAAAAACAAAAGATCAAGAAGGTTAAATTAAGTCTGAAGGACAGGGAGGATGGATTGAAAAAGAAAATAGATCAGCTTCAAACTGAAATAAGAGCTACAACTTCAAAAAAAGAAACAGGAAAAGCGACTCTTGAACTTACAGATAAGATTAAAAGACAAATTCAGGAGATGATACTTGCGAACATTGAAAAACAAATAAATAGTAGTGTCTCAAAGTAAAATACTAATGCTAATTCTATTCTTGGAGGAGGTTCTCATCAGCAATCAAATAACAATATTACTATAGCCTCAAGAAACGGCAATAATCTGAGCGAGACTACTACTTCAAAATTTAAGCGTAATTACTATCATATCTTTAATATAAACTTATAGATTCTATGACATAGAAAAGAGATGCTAATGGGAATCTCCTAAATATTAACAATCTAGATACTGAACAATAAATCTCCAGCAAATCATCTTTCAATTAAAAGCAATAGAAACAGTAACTTATTCAGTAATAAAACCATGGTAGAGCAAAATCAACTCTGGAAAATTATGATTAAAATGGATTAATGAACATCGAGCCCTTTGATGAAAATGCAATTCTTAAATCTGAGGATAAAACTTTAAACTAGTTAACTCAGAATAATAACTTTATGAATGATAAACTTATTTAATTAAATAGCACTCAAGTTGAATTACTATCCGGCTAGTAAAGCTAATCCTATCATCATAGACAGCGAACAATTTTTAAGTAAGAGTAATCAGAAATTCCAGCCCTTGCCAATGATTACACTCCATCGACCCAATAGTAGAGAAAGCGATAAATGATTTTGAATAAGACTATTGGATCATAGAATTAAGATGGAGATGAAAACAATTAAACATTTAGGAGGAACAACTACACAGAGATGAATATTCTTGAATCAAGAGAGAGGACGATGGATCCAAGTTTCAGAGGGGAAATGGCAACTATAAATGCCTCAGACACCTCTTATTTTAGACAATCAAGAGAAGGAGCTACAAGGTTTAAGACTAATGAAAGTAACTCAAGCCTACAGCCAAATAAAACTTAAAACTAAACGATTTAAAATATAAAAATACTAAATTAAACAAACACTAAAAAGATTATATTTAGTCAAAAACCTCAGAACTAAAAAAACTAAGTAAGACCAATAGCTGTTAAGTTTGAAGCATTATGATAGAAAATTACTCAGTGCAGAGGTTTCTTGATAAAGAAATAAATTTTATTAATTATATCATTCAATTAATAGCCTTATATTAAGTTCTTTAATCTTAAATCATAACTAATTTTCTCTTTTATTGTGCATTAATTCAGGCTTGTTTAAAAGTATTATTTGAATCTAAATCTTCAATAGCAAAGTGGTCATCTTTCTCTTGAATATGATTTTCATTCTAAAATAATTCACGATTCGGAGACTTATCAAATTCGATAGTTAGAGCACTGATATTTTAATGATTGGAAAGATTAGTATTATTAGTCTTATTGCTTTTATTTGGACTTCCGCTGCTTATATCAAAGTTAATTACAATTTGTCTATCCTAATCGCCAATTATCTTTTGATTTTCCTGCTACCTTATACTCTAACTCCCTCTTTAAGTAAATGATGTCTCAATAATCACACTTTTTCTTAATACATCTAACTTTTCATTCTTATAATCGAATTTGAGAGAATAGTAACAAATCAAAATGCCCAGAGTTCCAGTAATTGAAATAAAGGCATAAAATTCAAATCTCGATTTCACAAAAGCCATTATAATCATAAACAAAAACACTGTGAAAGATTGTACGAGATTAAATACTGAGTAGGGTTCAGAGTTATTTTCAAACTCAAATCCAAGAATCTCAGTTAAATGTGTATTTACTCCACTATCAGCAAATCCCCAGATAAATGTCATCACAAATACCATCAACGAAAATTTGTTATTATAGATGAAAGCAAGGACTACTATTGTTTACATTCCTACTAGAGCTATGTTGGAAATAGAGGCGGTTTTACTTCCAAATTTATCAATAATCTGTCCAACGTAAAAACCTCCGACTATTTCACCTATTCCCAATGAAACCATAGCGAATAGAGATTTCATCATTTATTAATCTTCACTATCAGATTATATGGTACCAGCAATAATTTCTACTAAAAGACCAGTGTAAATAGAAAGACTTACTCCAGACCACATTATATAAGGAATCAATACTCTCATTCTTTCTGAGACAAGCATTTTTATGGTTGACTTTACCTCCTTTTTTACCAATTAAAATCCCTCGAGATTATTCTCTGCAAGCAAGCCTAATTACTAATCTTCCATTTAGAAAGGAGGTGGGTCCATGGTATTATAGTTAGGTTATCTTTGAAGAACATTTTATTATATTTGATCATCTTCTAGTGCCTCATAAGATGTGATTGGGTCCTTCAAACATATGAAAATGAATGATGCCAGTATTGAAAAGCATGCCATAGTTAAGTAGAAGACAATTTAATCGAACTGCTTAATCACAAGGGCTCCTAGGAGATTTCCCACAATTTAAGATGCCATATAGTATGCCCAGAAATAACTAAAGAAGAAACCCTTAGTCTTCTCTGTTGCACAATCAGCAATATACTTTCCCTAGGCTACCCATTGGATTGCGTTTCCTAGTCCATCGAAAATTGAACTTAAGATTGTTGTCAGATAGATGAATGCATTGCTGTAAATGAATCTCGGATCACCAGGATTCTATTTTTAAAGATATGGGAATATGGAACTTAATATCCAGAAGCAATCAAAAACAGCACCAATAGCCAAACAATACTTTACACCCACTTTATTCATAACTGCAGTTGAAACTAGACTTCCAGCGCCCAGGAAGAAATAAAGTAAGCTTAATGAAAAGAAACCTAGTTTAGAAAACCCATTACTGTCCATCGCCTATGCTTCTGCGTTTTGCACTGTATTAGCGGATATTGACAAAATAAAAAATCCTATAGAGCAATGAGTTGCTCTTCCGAAGTTTTTATAGCCATCATCAAACTACTTATTTTTCTACTAAATTTGCTTGTGCTGCTTCATCTTAATTCAAGTTTAATTAATAATTTATTCATCTTTTCCAAATTAAAATTCATAATTATTTTCTTATGTAAACTCCTTAAATTTACACAGTTAGTAAAGTATTAATAGTGTTTTAATTGTGGATAAACTTTAAGGGGTTTGAAGTTAGTTATTAATGAAATAAATAGACTAGTGTAATAAATCAAGAGTAATTCAATAGTTTTTTGTGCAAATGTAGACATAATAAAACTATTCTTAATCTAGTCTTTCAAATAACTCTATTGAAGACTTTTTAGCTATCTTATTGGTGTCCACTTTCCATTTAAAATTTGGGTCTTTAAGGTAAATCAACCTTGTTTCTGGTCTAGCATAAGAAACACAGATGTAGCTACCTCCTGGAGCTAGTATTCTATGCACATTTTCTACCATTTGTTTAGCTCTTTAAGAGTATTATTCAGAACAAGCTACTGAATCTAAAGTACCTTTATCAATGATGCAAGTAAAGGAATCCGAGTCAAGTAGATCCATTGGTTCAGTTAAGTCCATTTCAACATCTATAAGCAAATATAAGAGATTTTTTTCATAATTTATGTATACTTACAATCCATATCATCTAAATGTGAATTTCTTTCCTTCATTTCCTCAACTAAAACATTACTAAAATCAGCATTAGTGATATAATGATATCCTTCCTCATAGATTTTCTAACTCAACTCTACTCATACATGAAATCATTAAGATAGAAGCTTTACCTGAGTTACCACAGCCTATTACTAGAATCTCAGCCTCCTTATCATCGAATAACCTTGGAATTATTATATCTTTAAGCTGCGAAAATCCTACAAACCAATCAAAGATCTGACCTCTTTCATCTCGATATCTATTATTCCAATATTCTACTTTTGAATAATCAGGATACTCAGTTGGCAAGATAACTTATGCTGATCCTGGCTTGATAACTTTCTTATACTACTTAATGTTTTAGACTATAATTCAATGCATACTTAAGTATTATTGGAATTTTGAAGATTGTTTTGATTTTGCTGCATTTTTATGTATTTAAAATTTGAGTGATAATTTATCCTTTTGGGGTTTTGGGGTTTTGGGGTTTTGGGG